TTTTTTAACTGATAGGGGAATATAAAGATTTGCTAAATGCTGATTTGCCCCAGGCCCAACGGCTAGAATAGGTTGGCTGGGCTTGGTGCCCAGCCTCCTCACGGGGCGTGGAGCACGTTTTCTTCCCTTGCCCTTTAGTCCACACTTGACCTTTTCTGGGAAAGGTTGTTTAGATTCAAATCTGTAAAACTAAAAGGTTTGCACCGTGTGCTCTAGACCTGGAGCTCAGACAATTATCACAGGCCCCACACCAAAACCTACAACTATGTGGTTGGGAAAACAGGATACTTCAATTTGTTATACAGAAATAGGAAAACTTATTTTCTCTACAAGGCTAGAAAAACTCCCTTAATATGCTAACAGTAATGCCTGAAAATCAACTAACAACATTCATATTTCTTCAGTTATCTTCTAAAACAAAAAAATTGTTGGTGCCTTTGTTTGAATTGGGGTCCAAAATAAGATTCGTACTTTGCAATTGGGGGATATGCCTAAATCTTTTATAATCTACAGGTTCCCCTTCCATCCCTCTTTTTTCCTCCAAAATTATTTGTTTACCTTGTGTGTTTTGTACATTTTGTTGCTGTTGTTATTGTTGAGTACATCAGCTGGTTTGTCCTGCAGAATTTCCCAGAGCCTGGGTGTGCTAATTCTATTCCCATAATGTTATGTAATATGTTCTCTGTCCTCGCTATTTCCGGTAATTAGTAATTACATCTAGAGGCTAGATTAGTTTCATGTTCCCCCCAAGACTAATTCACAGATAATGTATACATTTCCATCAGTACAATGCATAATGTCTGGTTGTCTCTTTAAACTAATGATTGATCATTGCCTTCATCCCCTGATTCATTAGAAGCTGTGAAAAGATATTCTATGACATCTTATTTATTAGCTAGAGTACTTTTATAAAGGGAAACTTCTCTTCATCAACTATTTGGCTATTTTGAGGTACAGACTGAATAGGAGAAGTAGCTAAAATGTTTTAATTCCTTTATTTACCAGGTTTCAAAGTAATAGGTAATTTCGTGTGTTCCAAAGTGACTAGTTTTTTATTTTTGTTTTCCTTTTCTTTCATTAGGCCCTCATGGATATACACATATTTTGATGGGTATTACTCTACTGTAGCTGTTATGAATCTTATTGATAGTCAATCTCTTTGTTTTTTATACCACTAGGAGCTTATTGAGTCTGACTCTTGAGTCTTTTTGATACAACCTGAGCAGGCTATGAATTCTTCTTGGCTTTCTGGTATGCCAAGATGTTCTGAGATCTGCAGTGCCTGCCCTGAACCTGGAACCTGCCATTTCTTCAAGGAATCCTATCTTTCTGTAATGGAAAATGCATTTAGAGACCACAATCTGGGCATTAGGGGTGTTCTTTTTATTAATTCATTTAGTTGGTTCTGTTTATAGCTTTTCAGTGGACAGGGCTGGGAAATTTTTTAAGGTAAATTTCAGATGAGTTCATACTTTATCCCATTATATCCAATAATTCTTTAATGTCCTTTAACAGCTGTAACCCATGTAATCCCAGCATAACAACTTCAGAATCACAACTGATTTAGAATCAATACTAACACTAACACCAATAGCATAATTACCAAAAACAGCTTAAGATATTTTTTTGCAATTCTTTTTGAACATGGGTATATACTATTAGGGATATTCAATCACATTGCTGTATTTTAAAATCACTTGGAATAGTTGTTCTATGTGTGTATATGCCACCCAGAGGCCATATAATTACTTACATTTGTGTAATTGTACATTTGACTTTAAGGTATCACCTTTTAAAATTCAATGTTAATTTGCAACTGTGTAAGACATTTATATGACTTCAAAGACAAAACTACCTAACAAGGTGTATTCAAAGCCTAGCTTCTATCACTATTCCTTCCTTCCTATTACTTCTTCTTCTTTGTAAGTAATGATTTCTTTTTAATTTCAAAGCTTATTCTTTTATTGTGTTTTCTTTATAAGCAAATATTTATTTAATCATATATATACATACATAATTTCCCTATTGTTAGATAAAAGGTAGTGTACTACACACACTTTCCTCTGTCTTGCTTTTATTACCTAATAATACCCCTTAATATTACTTAATAATACCACCTTCTAGTAGCTATTTCCCTCTTCATTTAACAGCTGCATAGCAAGCACCGTAGCCTGTGGCTGCATCACAATCCGTTCAGCTAGTGTCCTATTAATGGATGTCTGCATTGTTTTCAGTATTTTGCTGTTTCAAACAGTGCTGCAAGGTATCACTTTGTTCGTAATTTTGCCAGCCTACCTTTAGGAAAGGTTCCTAAGAAGTGGGACTGCTCAGTCAAAGAACAAATGCATGTGTGATTTTATTAGATATTACCAAATTCCCCTTCACTGGAGTTGTACGATTTTAAATCCCCTCCTGCAATGTATGAAAATACCTCTTCCCTGCAGCTTCACAATAGCATATGTTTTCAAACTTTTGAATTTTTCCCTACCTAGTAGATGACATGCTGTAGTCCACTGTAGTTACATTTTACATTTTTCTTATTGTAAATGAAGTTGATTGTCTTTTCATCGGGCTAATAGCCATCTATATTTCTTTTTCTAAGAACTGCCTGTTCAGATCCCTAGCCCAGTTTTCTTTAACAGTAGTGCACAAAATATGATCCCTAGATCAGCAGCAGCATCTGGGAATTTGTTAGAAATGCAAATTCTCAGGCCCTTCCTCAGACCTACTAAGTGAGAGACACTGGGAACAAGGTCCACAATCTGTGCTTCAACAAGCCCCATGGGTGACTCTGATGTACAAAAATTTGAGAAACACTGGTCTATAGGGTTGATGCAATAACTGTATTTTAACTTGCCAATAGGCTTGTCCAATTATTTTCTATTTAAACCAAGGTCACTGGTGTTATTAATCAGGAACTGGATGATTCAGATGCCGTGTGACATTTATTCATTCACTCATTCATCCAACCATTAACAAACAGATGTTAAATATTGTGAAATAAAATAAAATTTTACAGTTTGCCACAGTGGCCTCCCAGACAAGGAGAGCTGTGCATGCTACAGAGGCCGTACGTCAGCCAGGTCAACTCAGGCTGTGCTGAGAAGATGCCAAATGGCCATTCTCGTCTATGTTAGCAAGGCTGCCACAGACCCCTGCCCAGGGCCGAGAAGAGAAACAGCCCAATGTCCTCAAAGAGGACAAGACCAAATGGGAGTCTGGTCCCCCTGTCCTCGGCAGAATTCTTCAAAATAGTTAACAATCCAAATCCTTGCCTCCTCTCACACACAGATAACTTTGGAATGTGCACAGCATGTTCTTTTAAGATACTAACCAGATGCATCCTTGCCAAATTGCTTGATGTTTTGATTAATGTAACCTCTTTCCTGCATGTATCCCCTGTTGTAAAAAGGTACATAAGCTGTCTTCAGACTAAGGGCTTTGGAGCAGTCCACTCAGAACTCTCTGATTGGCTGCCTGCCTGGGTTTTAGGCCAACTATGACCCTCAGTGTGACTCTGAATAGACTCTATCTTTCTTAATACAACAGCTGGGTTGACTTCAGCAGACAGTATCCACTGTGAGTTAGTCCCTGAGGCCAGCAATACAGATACAGATCTAAAGAAACAGACATGGTCACTGCTCCCAGGAGCTAGCCTTCCACTGAGGAAGAACAAAACTAAACAAGTAATTTGAGTCTCACTAGAGGGGATTACAAGGTGCCACTGAATCGTACAGCAAGAGGCCCCAGCTAGGCTAGAGGTTGGGGAAATGCAAATTAAAATAATGCTGAGACACTATTTTACTCCCATCAAATGGACAAAGTTTTTTTAAAGGGATACTACCTGTATCTAGCAGGGGTATGGGTGGAAATGTGAAGCACTGCAGCCTCTTCCAGAAGGAATCTCAGTGAAATTTTTTAATGCATCAAACACAGCAACCCCACTCCTGGGAATCAAGCCCATAGAAAGAAGGCCACTGTGTGTAGTGGCAACCACTGTTTACAAAGTGAATGCCTGTGGTAGGGGAATGGTTGAATAAAGCATGGTATATGCATACCAGGCAGTCACTGAGAAGAAGGAGCAATACAATGACTTAAAGGTCTTTCTATGACATACTTTAGATAAGGAAAGCAATATGTAGGAAAATGGGTATCATGTACTCTTATTTTCAGAAACTCATACAAGCCCATGCGTGTGTATATTTAGATGTGTTGGTATATGACTACATGAGCATAGAACAACACTGGGGAAGAGGAAATGCCTATACAGGGGATCCTTCTAGGGTGGGTTTGGGCTCAGCGTGCATTCTCCCTTCCTGTTAGAAGACCTTTCTACACGTTCAAACGATGGAACGCTGACAACTACATGGCCATCCCTGCAGGCAAACAGACACTCCTGGGTGAGATACGGGAGGGGGAGAAGGCAGAGCAGGGGCCACAAGCGGGCTGCCTCGGCAGCTGAGTCACTAGCTTCAAGGGCGTGGAGGGGCAGGGCTCCGTTTCCCCGGCCTGGGCCCAGCAGGCAGGGGGCAGTGCTGAGCCAGACCTGCTGTGGCAGCTGCTGATTCCTGGGCGCGAACCTGGAGCCACAGGGGAATCTTGCAGAGGCAGCCTGTGGGGTCTGGGACTCATTCGGGAGGCGCAGTCTGAAACCTGGTCCCACAGCCCTTCCAAGGATTTCTTCAGCACCCACTTCCCTGGGCCAAATGCCCATTTGCCTAAAATAACTTGATCCTTGTTTTTTTTTCTTTGCAGTGGGAACTGTGTGAGTTGATGGGTTACCAGTTGGAGGAGTGAGAGGCAGTTGTGAGAATTTAGACGTATGTATATATGAAAGTGCCTTGACAGTAGTGGTGTTTATTATTATTATTAATCTTAAATGCCATTTAAAACTCATCTGTCATCCCAGCTACATAACTGATATACACAGAGGCCTTGCAAAGGCTTGTGACTGCAGAAGGGGGCCCTCCCCTGTGCAGCGTCTCCAAGCAGAGCCTTACCCGCAGGCGTGCACGCAGACTTAGGGGCCGGAAGCAGACTCCTGCGGGCCGTTGTCACATTGGAGGCTGCAGGAGGGGCCGCGCGGCTGGCCCCCTTGGGCGTGTCCTTGGAGGGCACAGCCGCCTTCAGAGCTGGCTGGTCTTCAGTCCCAAAGGCGGAACCTGCAGGAGGCAGACAGTGTGTTAATTATAACTTCATGAAAAATGGATGGACCGCCTCGCCACTTGCAATTGCCAACCAATCCTCACGCCGTCATCTGCTTTAGAACTTGGGCTGACTTTTAGTGGGTGGCCTTGAAAGGCATTTCTCTGGGATCCAATGTGGCAAGCAGTTTCCTTTCATTGCACCTAAAAATCTGTCATTTACATTCTCTGTGTCATGGGCTCTGCAAAAGCCAAGAGCAAGCTCACCTCTAAAGACTTCACACACACACACACACACACACACACACACACACACACACACACACACACACAGTTTGCTTATGTGGACGTGTAACCGCGTATGTATATGATAAGCATTTGTTTGATAATTTACAGCAGACGAGCAACCCTTTTTTGGGAAACCAGAGGGAGTGACACCCCGGAGAGGTGAGAAGGCCCACAGGTCCAGGACGGGGATGCAGAGCCCCCTGAAACCCAGCTAATGTCACCTGCAGAGTAAGAGGCTGGGGATGAAGGCAGAGGGGTGAGGGGCATGGAGACAAAGAACCCCTTTGAAACGGTGAAAATTAATCATGGGAAACCTCATTAAAGTGGAGTCCAGAAGCTAGAAGGGGGACCATAGCACTTCATGTCATTTATAGGAAGAATCATGAAGTATAGGCCCCAACTGGTGGGGGGCGGTGGGGGCGGTTGGGGGGAAGCTACACTGTATCTCCTGTAAGAAATCGGCCATCGCTGCAACTCAGTCAATGGAAACAGTCATCACCCTGAACTCTGGCTTTTCTGTAGCAGATTTTGTTCAAATAACCGCTCCCACCACCACCCACATCGCACCACTGCCCACCGGCCAACTTCCTCCTCCTTCTCTGTAAGATAACATTCCTCTTGTTTGTTTGGTGGGCTTGCCTATGGTTTTGTCACAGCTTGCATGTCCCAAGTTGCAACCCTTTGCCATTCCCAAATAAGCCTACTTTTGCTGGTAAAATGACTGGCAGTTTTATTTTGAAGGTTAGCAAATCCCACGAAGATGTTTTGTCTGAAAAGCTGAGACGTCACCAGACTAAGAGGACCCTGAGTGAGAGCCCAGCTCATTGCAAAGGCAGAAAACATTTATTAATTATTCCAGTTCATGGTTTGTCCATGGGATGGCTTGTTTATAAGGGACTGTTCTGACACTGGAAAGATACTCCGTACTGGGATATGTGTCAGATTCAGATGTGTGAAGTGGTCATGGTCCACACTGTTCTTCTAGATCCTTCCAAACCTACTGTGATTTATATGTTTGTAATCACTTAAAGATAAAGACACCAGCGTCTAATCCCTGTTAAAGGATAAGTCTTCTAAATACACCTCCGAGTATAGCTGTGAGGCCTAATCTGCTAAATTAAATAGAGAGCCTGGAAGTAATGAGATTACTGATTTGGAATAAAACTATCCAGTTAGAAACATGACCATCCACCATGGAAAATAAGCAATGACAGCTGTAAGAAGTACACAGAATTCTAGCAAAAGATGAAATTTTTTGTTTTCATCATCTTAAAAGGATAGCCATAACATTCTATTTAGATAGGGCCTGCATACAAATGGTAACATTATTAAAATGGCTTTTCTGTCCAAAACAGAGGAAGAGATAGTTACTTTCTCTTGAAGACCTGAAAGTCTATTTAAAATTGGTGAGATGTGTTTTCTTTCTAAAGAAAAGTGTATTGAGGAAGGGAAAATAAAGAATGTGCTCCGTCCTAACACAGAACCTATGCCCTATAGTTCTTTCGAGGTGCTGTGGAAGGTTTTAAATAGTTCTAAACAGTTCTAGAAGAATGCATTTGATCTATGCAAACAGCTGCCCTGCCATTCCACAGAAGGTGTCTGCACTACATCCTGAATGTCAGATAAAAGAGTAAGCACATGTTTGATCCAAATCTTGTCAGGAAAAGGGGCATCACGCATCTGAAAAACAATGAGTTTTAGCTTCTGAATCGTAGAGCGGGTTCACCAGTCCAATCCTAGAACTCAGAGAATCTCCGAGGCTTTGTAGGACATTTCAGATGGGCAGAGAGGGCTCAGACACTAAAAATGTTTCACATGGAATTATCTAATGTTCAGCCCACTGCTGACACACTGCCAGAAAAAATATAGTCGTTGAAATATGTAGTGGTAGCTAAACTGAACACAAAACCTTTTACCTAGTCTTTAATGATTTATTAAAGTTTCTTAAGGAGGGAAATTTTGTGTGACATCTGTCGAGTTCAAATGACCTTTTATCAAATCCTCTTGCCGCTGACATCATTCTCTTACATGGAATGATTATTAATGTTGTTATATTATATACGAATGATTATATAATGTTGTATATATATATTCAGAGATTTGGCTGCTTTCCAACCTGGGAAGTAAGTCATCTGTTTGAAGTATAAAGTGTCAAGGAAGTTATGTACACCCCTTGAGGGGTCTTCATGACCAAAAAATGAAATAAAGTAAAATAAGGTAACAGAGAACTCTATTCTTGACCATTCTTGTGGGATACAGCTGGCATTAAACAGTACCAGTCTTTGAAAACCAGCTTACGTCGGCCAGTAATTAAAGACACATTCTTCAGTAAATAAAAAGCGCCCAGAATTTGGAAATGGCTGCTCAATTCTGTAAATCCTCTGGGTACTTTGCAACAATGAAGACAACATTAAACCACTGCTTGATAAGAGGGAGAAAACAGCTGGAAATAAACACACTGCTTGTGTGAGCCAGAAACATACTCTGGAGTATTCGGCCAGTGGAAGCAGGCCTCTCATTCCCAGTCAAAATGAATTTTCTCTGGCCTGAATAATCTAGGAGATACATGGTTCGGGCTTGGAGCGAGACCACCGGGGTGGGCACGGTACCTCCCCCACCTCCCACCTCCGCTGTTTCGTTTTTAAGATGTTCATCGCTCTCTCAAAGCTGTTGGGAGAATTAAAAGACCAAAGGCAAGTGAATTTAAGTTGATGCAAGCATTAGTACAAGAAAATACTTAGTGCCTGGTGCATGGTATGCTCTTATGTTACTTGTTAACACAGGTTAGTTTTGAGGTCAGGGGCTCGCATTACAGCAAGTCAGTTTTTCACTGGAACCTGGAAAGTATTCCAGAATTAAATCAGCTGGGCAGCTTTAAGGAAGAAGAAAAGAAAGGGGTGAAGTCAATCTGATAGTAGCCACAGGACGAAAGAGTGACAGCGTGATTGTCTTTCATATAATGAACATATCATAAAAGATAGGATAAGAAGATGAGAACAATAACAAGAGTGGACCACTAAGCTTAAGAAGTAGAAAATACTGCCAGTTCCATTCTGAGTGAAATTGTGGGGGCAGAAGGCATGCGTGGTTCACCTTTCCTACATTACCAAAACTGCTTTCCAGATTTCTTGTTGCAATTCACAGTAAGCACAGGTAGTGACCCTTGGACTTCAATTTATTAATGAAATTTGGTTTTCATTTATAAGTTTCTGACAAGTAATGAGTTTGAATACTTTTTCTCATACAGTTACTGGCTACTAAAGTTGTTTCTTCCATAAAATATCCATTCATATAACATTGGCCTCTTTTCCATTGAAGTATTTTGCCTTCTAATTGACATTCAGGAGTTCTTTGAATATTCTGGATACTGATCCCTTATCGGTACAGATTTCACAAGCCTTTACTCCGAAGTCTTTCGATTTAAAGCAGTTGATTCTTCTCAGTCTTTCCCCACTGGATTTATACTGTCATTTTTACTTTCATTCCCTACCTGTTGTCATAAAGATGTTCTCCTATGCATTCTTCTGAAAGGTTTAAAGTTTCGTTTTTCACATTTAGATCATTAATTCCCCTGGAATGGGGCATGGGGCAGGGATCGTGTCTGTTGTTGTTTTCTGGGTGAATAGCCAGTGGCCCCAGCCGGCATATTTGACAGTCTGTCTTTTCTGCAGTATGTGCACTGGCAGCTGCTGCATGTCAAGTTCCATACAGGCATGACTCTCAGGGTAAGCCAACAACCCCCAAGCTTCAGTGACTTAACAAAAGTTTGCTTCCTGGTCTTGAATCATCTAACAGAGGCAGGGTGGATGCTCAGCAATCCTGGAGAGTCCAATCCAGGCAGGGACTCAGGGGCCCAGATTCCGTCTATCTGTGCTTCTGCCCTAATCTGGGTTTCTCAGGAGACCTTAGCCTGCAGCTAGTATACGGGGGAACATGAGGTGTTCATGGGAAGATGTTACGGGTCAGGACTGGAAGTGCTGTGAACCACTTCTGCCTTGAGTCCCTCAGCTGGAACTCAGCCACCTAGGAGGCTGGGAAATGGGGTTCAGGTTATGCCCAGGAGAACAGGGAAATGGTCTGATGAACAGCTCTCCCCTCTGCCCCAGGAGGCTCCACTTCTGAACTCCATATGCTGTTTCACTGACCTCTTTCTCTATCACTACACCAATACCTCACTGTATTTATTTGCTAGAGTATAAGACCAGTAGTAGCATATGTACAAGACAAGTACCTCCAACTTTGTTCTTTTACTTTACAAATTGTCTTAGCTTTTCTTGGCCCTTCATATTACACACAGATTCTAGAATCTACTTGTCAAGTTCCAGGAAAAGTGGTCAGGATTTTCAATGGATACAATTAAGCCTTTTTTCTGAAACGCAACACAATTGAAAAATGAGCAAGATCAGCAAACAGATGCTGAGCGCCAATTATTCTCTAGGCTCCGTGTTAGGTGATGGAGATACAAAGAAGGGATGAGTCCCATGAAAAAATAAGCATCAAATAAGTGGTTCTTGAAAGAGGCAGCACTACTCCATAAAGGATGAAAGTCTGTGGGGGAGTGTGGATAAAGTGAAGGTTCCTGAGGCCAGGATTCCCACCTGGCCCTGGTTGGCTAGCTCACTGCACACGCGTGGACAATTCATTGTTATTGACTCTTTATAAAGAGCTCTGCCCAGTGCTCTGGGCTGCTGAATGGCTGCAGGGCTGCAAGGCTGCAGGAGAGG